AACTAACCATATATGCTTTTTTAGAGGACCACATCCTTCATATAGTTATTCACTTTGTGTCCATTTCCAGCAGTGACAAACACTTGATTGGGAAACACAACATCATCAGTGCATTTGAAATTTGGATAAACAACAGAATTTGATTCCAAGTAATGAGGACCTTTTTCTTTCATCATTTTTTTTAATTTCTCTATTTCCTTATACACTTGATTAACAACAACTCTTGGAATATTTTGTTTCATTTGGGACATCTTCGTCATCATTATCACTATCAGTTTGACTATCTTCGACAATCACACGGTCATAGTCATGAACTTTCGATGTTGAGGGTTGGTCAGTGTTAACCTTAACCAGAGAATCATCACAAATTTCTTTACCCTTGCTTATCAAAGTGACATTAATGAAAAATAACTAAGAACAATCAACAACTAACTCTGCCTCAATTTCACTGATATTATCAAAATCATCTTCGATATCAGCAAAATTGTGTTGAGAGTCAGATGTCGATTTCTAAGTCTTTTTCAAAATCTTTATTTGTTCAGTCTTGGTCAAGGTCTTATTCACATTGTTTACTAAATCATTTGCATCTAAGCATTCATCTATCTTTACAATACCATAATCATATGAATCATTTGGGACCTTGTCAAATTTAGAAAATTTCTTCTAACAGTCATAAGATGTCAAATCTATTTTCTCCATTTTGAATGTCAAAAAGGGCAGTAATTTCCTATGTTGTTCCTTACTTATGTCATAGGAATGATGTAAATCAGTCAATTTAGCATACAACCTTTTTACCGAATTACAGTAGATGTTACGTTGTTTCAACAAAATATCATTATCCACACCCATCTTATCCCTATCACAAGTAACATTATTTAACTGCAATTCTAGATAGTTTATCCTACTCTTCTTCGATTCCAACCTCTTTTGTGTATCTAAAAATAAAGATTTCATTTTCTCAACATCACTTCTAACATAAATAAGCAAGTCATTAACATAAGTAATAGTCTCATCAAAATTAGATAGAATAATCTCATATGAACTAGTCACAACCAACATTTTTAGCTAGGAAATTATGTTTTCATGTAAACATCAACTCTTGTAAGTCTTGTAATCTAAGTGAAATAATACTCTATGCTCAATCAAAAAGATTCATTTGAATCAAAAATCCCGAGTGAAGTCCAAAACCTAAATCAATACGTCTCAAATACTCAATTGTGGGTTTGGAAACCCTAATAACCCAGTTCACCGCAGGATGGACCAGGATCCTCTTATTAGGCCTAATGGGCCAATAAACTCTCAATTTGATTACTTTGGGTCTTGGAACCCTAATTGGGCTTTAGTTGGACCTACATTCATCAAACCATAGCATTTTTGGGCCTAAAATGTCTCACTTGGTTTCATGGACCCTAATGGGCCATAAACGCCTTTTTCCTTATCAATATTGGGCTGTAAACCCTCATATGGGCCCAATGGACCGAAAACTTTCAATTTGGGCCTCATGATTTCCAAAATAAGCAAACAAGGCCCAAACCCTTTCCCTTCTCTTTTCTTTCTCCCCTCTCCTTCTCAGTTTTACCATAGATAAAAAAAAGATTTTAGTTTACTTAGACTTTGACACCTCTTTATTGCATGGTGGTAATCCATGCAATAACCACCAAACATCTAGGAAATTGACACTAATCCAACATCTATTAACCAAGTCTAATCATCTCTATCTTCCTCTCTTCATATTCGTGACCTTTCCCTCTCCATTTCCAACTTCATTTTTCATCTAAACTCTCTCACTTTTCATTCCTAAAAACCGTGAGCTTGAGAGTGATTCAAGAGTTTCTCATCAATTTCATCCTCTTGGTAAGTTATTTCATATACAAGGTGTTTAACTTCATCTTTGTGCTTAGAACATATTCTCATAACTATCTTCATTTCATGATCAAGCTTATTAGAACCCCATAAGTTTGAGATCTACTCAAGGGAACTTGCTAGGGCTGAAATCTCCTCCTATCTTCTTCCAAAACCAAAATCATCAAACTAAAGTGAGTTCATACCCCTTATTTTCTGTTTTTATTATGTTTTGGGGGAGAATACAAGTTGTTTTATATAGATCTATGTGTGTATGCATGACTATGTGTGTTTTTCATGATTTATTTGGTGATTATGTGTTGTTTACTTCATAAATCTAAAAATATGCTAAAAATATGAAGTTTATCACTTAGATCTTCATAAAAACTATGAGAAAAGTATATTTTTTCATGTAAACTTGCAGATCTGAGGTTTAAACACTCAAAATAGCAAAAACAAGTGTTGTGTTCAAAAATCTATAACCTCAACTCAAAAATCTGCTTTTAACAGAAAGGTTTTGGTCTAGTTACGGACTGTTTTTACCACCTTGATGTTAATATTTTGCAAAACTGTTTTACATGCAAAACGTTCAGGTTTGTACCTTTAAAATGACTACGCTCACGCATTCATATGAGTTTTTCACAATTTTGGACGAGTTTTACAAAACTGGCTATCATTTCAGGAAGGATTTCGGACTAGTCTGTGAAGATGTACATTTTCACACTGGTTTGAGATAACCAAAAATTATGAAGAAAGTAGACTCATTTCCAAACTCTCAGAGTTTAAGGATCCAAATTTCGACTTACGATGATTTTCTATAATTTATCTAAAAATAGGGACAGAAAGGCCAAAAATCAGAAAATTGTTTTAACTTACTAAAAGTGCTTATACTTTTGTCAGATGCAAGTTTATATGACTTATACATACTTTTAAAAACATCTAGACATGTTAACTTATGTGTGTGTGTATATATATATATATATATATATATATATATATATATATATATATATATATATATATATATCAAAAGTGGTCCTTCAAACACAATTTGGCAAATACTTGGTATAAAACGAACAAAACAATAAGAAACGGGTTAACCACGGCAATTACTTTCGTTTTAGACCTGAAAATAATATACAAGTTTAGTGGGCCTTAGTTGTGTCACACCCCGGTCGGCGGCGGAAACACCGGGCGATGCAATGTCATTTCTCGTATCACAGTTATAAAACATACATTGAATTGTACAAAAGAATTTCATGGAATACATACCTTTATTGATAGTTGAAAGTTACATTATCATAGTTTTCCTAGTATCTATTACATAATATCCGACTATGGCATACGTCTTAACGAACAAACAGATTAATAGTAAAACTTCTTCTATTCGATTAACATACCAGTTGGCCAAGTTCCTAAAAACACATGCATTTTAAAATACGTCAACATAAAGTTGGTGAGTTCACAGGTTTTGACTCCATATAATGTAACACTATTTCTCAAGTTCGAAAGTATAGTTTTGAAAGTTTCGTTGGACTCTCCAATATTAGATATAATAGTTTACTTATCAAATAAGTGATATTCCTAACAATATTTGAACCTAAGGTATAAGTATGGGGAAACTTATACTTAACATTAATACTTGTATAACGACAAAGTATAATGTTTCTAAGAAATTGCTACCATAAGTTTGTAACTGCTGCTTGACAACAAAACCTCTAACAGCCACTCATGCTATTCATGAGAATTTCCACACACATACACACAATATCGCGTACTTCATCGACGCCGGAACAATAACAAATAAAAGGAACGGATCGTCACCCGCTTATGTTTGGTTGTAATTAGCAACCACGAGTGGGGTTGTCAACCCGTATCTTACTCATACATGACTTCCTCGCTCACACGGGATTAACGGTTATAGGTCAGAGGACTTCCACTAAGATCCTTAATCTTAGATGATGAATACAGTAGCTCATGTAGACTTTGACGACGTTCTATAGTTCTAACAACAAAAGCATTTTCATGTCTAAAACCCTAAGTTACTAGACTACGCTTTTAAACATTACTCCTAATTTCATAACATTTAGGCAGTATAACAGCTATAACTTGAAGTAAGACCAGGTTTTATGTTGACAAAAAACCAACAATAATAACATATAACATACCAGGTTTATCTTGACATAAAACCATCAATAATCACATATAACATATTTAACAAATGATATATATATATAACTTCCAAGTATAACTTTGGGTCTATCACACCACATAGTATAAATAGAACCCCGAAGTATAACTCACAAGTTACATCACACACACACACACACACACACATATATATATATATATATATATATATATATATATATATATGTTATAACATTGTGGGATTGAAATACCTATGTACTCACCAGGTTTTTCAAACCTGACCCACTCAGTTTTCTTTGTATCACAGGTAGTGGCACAAGAGCATAAGTTGGTTGACATGACAAGAGATTTTGGATTATAGATCAGTAGTTATAAATAGCTGTTGTAAGGTCTATTTTATACTGTTTATGCTTTTGGTCTGTATCGGAACATGACATCCCGAGATTTTGTTATTTAATGAAAATACATTTCTTTAAAGAAATGTTTTGATAAATTCTTATCACGTTTTGTTTTGGGAACAAATTCCACAACAGTTTTCTTTAAACGATTACTCTGATTTTAAAACAAAGCATAAACAAATCGGTCTTTTCTGACCTCGAATTTGGGGATGCACGTAATCTCACTGAAAAACAAACAAATGAAAGTAAAAAAGGTAAGAAGAACTCCAACAAAAAATAATTAAACTAAAATTAAGAAGTTTTAAAATTCAATAACTAACCATATATGCTTTTTTAGAGGACCACATCCTTCATATAGTTATTCAAAAACTCTCTAGACCAGGTAGCAACAGTTGCAAGCAACGCCTTTTCCTCAAAGGGACTTTTGTCATCCCAAATGCTACCAGACTATATTAAATATATAATTAAACATATTCATTAACAAAACACATATTTTGTTGCAATAGACAAAATGAACAAATATTAAAAAGGTACTTACTTTACTTGGAAATCCATGTTGTCTTGTCGTCAAGAAATCAAACATCCATCGCATTACATAATGCCCACTCTCTAAACCACCAAGTTGTTGGTTGCACTAAAAATTGTAGCAAAAAGTGAACATTAATCAAATAAATGAAACTACAACAATTATTTGTTTTCGTATATAACAAGATGAATTGCCTCAGCAAAAATCCATCCAATTGGAGTTGAAGTGTCTTTATCATACCTCATGAAAGCCTTTAAAAGAAATAAACAAGTGTTGTGTTCAAAATAATAAAAATAACTATATCTTTCTATAAGTAAGTAATTTCTTACATGTCCACATGCTTTTTGAGCAGGTAATGGTAGTCGGCAGAGTTTTCTATACGATCCTTAAGAGAATCTAAAATATAGACAATGCGATTGCGAAAGGAAATCACCAAGAGCACCCAATGCTTACTAGAAATGTTTAAACATTTAGCATAAATAATAAGCAAAAAAACAAAAGAATAATAATAAAGATAACAACTTATTGTACTTTTGCAAATATGGTGCAACGAGAAACAATTTTCCGTGGTGCAGACGAATGGAATCAACAAGATATCTAACAACACCCTCTGGGTTTTTCTGGCATGCCTCCCCTAGAATATTATAAGGGTTCAAGAAAGCACATTTGTTCATACGTGTCCGAACCATTGAATGAAGAATCCTACAAACAAGAAAACAAAAAATGTTATGGTCAACTAATAATAGCAAAAGTTTAATGGACTTACAGTTGCCAAGCAGTCAAGATGGAAGCATCGGTTGTTTGTTTTCTCAACAATCGAAAATATTCTTCACTTGTAACCGAAAAATCATATGTCCCGACTTCCAAGATCCCAGAATTGGCTACAATGTTAACCAATGGGTTGGTCTTCAAGCAATCACGAATATATTCAATCGGCCTTGCCTTGCTGGCTGTTTGGTTGGGTATGTTCTTGTTTGTACCAGCCCTTGCATTTGTTGGCACCAAACTTGTGGTTGGAATTTGTTTCTTAGTTCTTTGTTCCTACATTTTAATTCATTTTACTATCACATACCATTATAATTTGTTGTTTATATAGTAGCTTAAAAAGTAAAGGATAATGCATATGTACCTTTGCGAGAATAATTGCAATCTGGGGCCATTGAATTAAAGTGCCAACCGCCTTTTGTAGGTTAGCAACTTCTTTTGTCATCACAGGAACAGGAAAATTTTCATATCTACAATCGATGTCGTGTACCAGAACCTTCAGGTGATTTTCTCGTAAAGGCAATGTGTGTATTAACCCATTCCCATATGGAATGACCAATCCCTTGGCATATTTTTGGTCTAACTCCCCATAGGGTAACACCAATTCACAAGGGGTAGGCATCTATAAACAATTAAACATGTAGTAAAACATAAATAAGAATAAAAGATCTTTGAAGGATAATAAATAAAAAAAGTACATAATAATGTAATAACTATATTTGAATTTTTAACCTATATCCATTATAGTTCAAACCCTTATAACAAAACATTTTAATTAAAAGACTAGAGTCTTTTGTCTCAATTATACAACCAAAATGATGATATTAAGGTAAACTCAAACACAATTCTTACAATGTTGCATTTTCTAACACAAATATTATAATAAAATAATTTGTGCAAATATAAGAATAAACAAATAAATACAGTACCACTTCTGATGATATGGAATCAAACAATATTTAACATCCAAGAAAAAATATTAGTTAAATCAGTTAAACAAGTATATTATCACTAAAAAATGATTAGAAAAACACTAGTAATCAGTTTGGTTACTCATCCCTAGTTCTGAGCATAATTTCTCTACTAACAGGGTTAGTTTTTATTGTTTCTATATGTTACTGGAACATAAATACACTCATTTACCTTTATCGCATCCAAAGCATCTAATGTTGAATTCGAGCCACGATTAGTTTGTTGAACCCCTAAGCTTAAATCATCTGGGGCATGGTTCCTAGTCCCCTGCTGCATATGTCAAACTGTTCTTGTAGCTTTCCCAATTGGGAGCCCATCAGATCTATCGTTGCCTGCAGCTTATCAGTAGTTTCTTTTTCATGTTTTTTCCTCTTTTTTTTATCAGTCCCTTGCATCCCTTTTCTCAATCCAACATCATGACCAACAGCCCTGGTACGGCCCGGGTGCTCCGGTCCTATTACCTTTGTCAACAAGTCCTCTCCTGAACTGAGCTCCAAATCTCCTTCAGAGATTTGAGTCTGGACATCAACCTGTTAACGAAAACAACAAACCAGTGAGAGTAATTAATTAGATATAAATGATTAAAAGAATTTACTTACAAGCTTGTCCACTGTGGGTTGTGTGGTAGGCGGTATTATGTTTGACCCCAACTCATTTTTAGATCTTCTACCCATAACATAATGCAGTGAACACTCGCTTTTTATCTGATAAAATTGGGGTGTCAATTGACCAGATGCCATCTTTTGTTCCCACTCAGCTTTCTTGCCTTTGTAACCAAGTGATCCTACTCGGGCAGGATTCTTATTATGCATTGAACTCGCCCTCGCTTTCTCACTTATCTCCTGCAAATGAAATTAATTAACACAGTTAAAACAATAAGTAATATAATTATGTGCAATTAAAGTCCAACACACTTAGAACTCCTCTGATGATATTCTCTGTCAAAAGCTCTGCAATGTACTTCTTTCCAAATATGAGTAGGTCTCAAGTGGATCTCTTTGGTTATCACATTTCTTTTTAAGCCTTTTCTTGAAGACTCTCCACTGGCTGTTGCATGTTCTAAATACATCTTTTTTACGGTTGTCATTCAGAATACTCCAACGTTTCTGTTTCTGTTTTTGTTTTAGAATAAGGATACTAAGTATTAATAACATATCTTGATTAGATGAAACTACATGTAATGGGTCTTATGTAGATAAAGAACCTTAATTGTCGACCATAGCATATCTTCTTGAGCAATTGGCACTTTCTTCCAACTCGTATATTCAACAGAAATCATCGACCTCGTAATAACACCACACTCGTTAGCAAACTTACTTTGTTTCTTCCCAACATGCTGACCAATATTGTTGAAATCAACTTCTTGTGGCTCTTTATGGTCGATTGGTCTTGTGGTTGTTCTTTTTTTCCTCGGTTGTGGTTGTGGCTGTGGCTGTGGTTCTAGTTCTTGTTGTGGCTGTGGTTGTGGTTCTACTTCTTGTTGTGGCTGATCATTTATCATATTTATTCTGGAGGAAATATATAAAGAATAATATGAGACATCATAAATGTTACACTTCATGTGTTGTTACAGTAGTTGCTTTTTAGACAAGTGTCAAAATTTCAACTGTTCACATGGTGCTCCAAAATGCAGTTTTGAATCAGTTAGCAAATAAATCATATAAAGTTTAGAGTACAAACAAAGTGTTCATCTATATAAGCTCAAATAACATGTAGAAAATCACCTGTCACCTGATACAAATTCATAATCACAAGATATATGCATTTTACTTGTATTTCAATTCATACATATAACATATTTTGATTTTTATTTTTTAGCATCAAAAAAACAATTCACCAAACCTATGGATTCATTAAAAAAACATATAAAATTCTCTTAATACCTAAGAGATATAAAGACCCCTACTAGGTTTTTGTTTCAATTTCAAGTGACTTGAACTTAATAAAACCTTATACAAATCAGGGCAGAACCAGGATTTTTTGACGGGGGTAGCATATTTTTTTCCCGATAAAATATCAAAAGTAATACCAAATTAACAACAAGAAAATTCACTTGTCATATAAAGAGTAATATACAAAGAGGCTCAGTTGCATTCATATTACAAACTTTTGATCCTGAAAAGTTTATAATTTCCTCCATGAACATTAACAATTAAAAAATAGAAAAACAACATTGATCAAAAGGAAGTCACCTTGAAAGGAAAAATTTTATGTATGTTGTGTCCATCCACATCATATTTTAGATATAAGCCGGAAAACACTCAAATATTGTTAGTCGTGATCAAAGAGACACAATTTGTTTCGATCTAGTCCTTTAGGCATAACATCAAACACTTGGAAGGCATAATGAAATAACCCTTAACACTTACCAATTTCCAGCAATAAGGATTGCCCACATGGTTTGCTAGACAACATACAAATTACCATGTTAAGAAATATTTACCAAACATGTTTTGAGTTACCCAATTACTTTTGCACCTTTCTGATTCAGACGCTACAACAACATCATTCACATGTATTAGAAAAATCAACAACAAATCAAGGAAAATTATGATGGAAACCAAGGAAATCCAAAATAAAACATGTAAAAATTGATCTCACATCAGAGATAGAATGAATATTGAAATCCGATTAGGGCTTTTTGAAGCTACACAAATCAACAATAAACAAAAAGATGTTAGAATCAAAAAAGAAATAGAGAAATCACAGGTATGGAGAGGGAGAGAGATGATGGAAGTCATTGTTGTCTCTATAAACCAAAAACAAATTTGTAAAAAACAACCATGATGTGCTGTCTCGTAAGAATCCACATTTAAAAAAATAAAGATCCTGAATTGGTGAAAGAGTAAGAACTCGAGATGATGGTTGCATGATTCCTCCTACTCGAAAAATATGAAAACAAACACTCGATAAAAATTTTTTTGTAACCGGCAACAAACACAAAGAAAAATGAGAAGGAAACAAATAGGGTGGTGAGTGGTACATGATGGTGGTGCTAAGAAAAAAATGGCACGAATCCTAGATAAATCAAAACCATCGAACATATAAAATTTAGAAGCTCTAATGTAGGTTTTTGTTTCTCTAAAGCCCGTTTTCATCAGCAACAATTTTTTCTAGAATTAATATTTCATGTTTATTCAATATTTGTTTTTTTCACCGGAAACGGGCCCATTTTATGAGCAATAGCGACCATGCGATTTGTCGCCTATAATAACTTTAGTGGCACTTTATGCACGTGTGGCCGCTAAGTCGTTTTCTGTAGAATTCGTGTTTATTTATTTATTATTTTTTTTTAGAGTTGTAAGTATTGTTAAATATACGACACATATCTGTTTGTATTCATTTAGACGACTACAACTCTAAAAAATTAATGAGTGGTGAACACTTTTTCCATGTTCAATGACTTTTGCATGCGTAAAAAAGATTACGTTGAATAAGAACATTTATGAAATTACGTTAAAATCACATTAATTTTTTAAAACAATTACATTGTAACCTGTCGTTATAAAAATAAAATACTATAATTAAGATATAAATAAATTAGAAAACTAATACAAAGAACTCTATAGTACAATAAATAAAATCTAGTTCCTACAACTTGCTGTATGCAAGTCGATCTCCAATAAAAGATTAACTCGGAAAAATAGCTGAATAAATGGATGAACACTTTGAGTAATATTCTATAGTAGAAATATAAACTGGTAACTAATGTCCCTTTCCACCTGGACTTGGACCGGAGTTTTTGATCTCTCCAAGAATCTTATCATTGATGAAGTCGTGTCCCTTCCCTCCAGGACTAGGTCCCGAGTTCTTGATATTCCCAAAATAACCAGCATTGGGGTACTCATGTCCCTTTCCTCCTTCACTTGGACCTCCACCTATTTTAATAGATGCAAGACTAGATATGTCCATGTCATCCTCAGCGTAATCTATAGGCTTACCAATATTTATTGGTCGAGCAACTATTTTGAAGATTAATGAGGTGAGAAGGAGGAGAGAGATGGTGAAAACGTAGTTAATTCTGGCCATTGCTAAATTTGGTTTGGCAATCGATGTAGTTGCAAATAATTAGTTCCGAAAGGAGTTCTTAAATGGAGAATAGAAAACAGTGGTTTGATTGCAAACGGAGCTTCAGAGAGAAAGATGAAAGAATATCTGTGGTGGAATTACCATGAAGGTAATCGTATATATAATACTTATGCATGCATGTTAAAGTAACCAGAACGTGGAGCGAAGCAACCTTACCAGAGGAACCAAGAAAAAAGATTATATTACATCACGTGACAGAATAGAAATTTGAACGAAATTCTGCTGGGGGTTGAAGCCGCCGGTTTATAATCAGTGTAAGAACAATAGCATGCTTCAACCTCGTTTCAACTATAGAAAAGTTGATGGAATATCATATTTAATTAGTCAATCCCATTTCAAAAGAAACATTTGGAAGAAATACATAAAGTAATAATCTTTTGTAGAGTTTAGTTCTTTTGGTTTACAATTTCATGACATGTGAACCTGCGTCGTAGACCCAGTTTGAAAAAAAAAAAAGTTAAATAAATGATCCACTAAGAATATATGTGGCGTAGTTGCTTACGAAATATGTTTAATGTCCTTGGAAAGTTCCACATTTTCCCTATTCATATTCCAAGAATGATCCGAGAGGGTGGTATTGGACTGAAATTGTAGTAACGGTTGGAAACTCTTTTTTTTTATAACGACATTGGTCTACTATTCAATGAATCAATAAAAGTGCCAAATGATGAATCAAAAAGGTAATACCCACCATTAACTATATATATATATATATATATAGGGAAAAGTGAATATACCCTTAAGGGTATATAAGGTTAGGTATCCAATGCTTAAAACTACGTAGTTTTGATTGGTGGTTTAATTTAATTGAAAAAAATAACAATTTCCTTAAACACTATTGTTTCCTTATTGAAAAAAAATAACAACTAAAAGTAAAAGTCGATCCCTATTGCTTCCATAATCGCCTATTACCTTTAGCCGGTTGTGAATTTTTTTCCCGTAGGTTGCCGTCATTCTTGCATCACAGGTTCGTGCTACTTCATTCATTATCTTTTTCTTTATTATAAAATTCAATTCATTGTTAATTAGTTATTGTTATCAATTTGAGTATTTAAGTTCTTGAATATAGTATTCTTAAATTCTCTCGCATGGTTCATCCAATGTATATATATATATATATATATATATATTGCAAGTGTTTTTTTATTCTTTTATTAGTTACATAAATCATTATCAAAAGGATTTAGTCATAAATTATGTAATTTACACCCTTCTAAATCTTTAACCAATTGATATAAAAAATTTATATTTTTATTGTGATGACGGTATTTAACTATTTAATGTAAAATTTCAGATTCTTCAAAAACGATTACAAAGAAATCGAAATTCATAGGCAAAACAATTTATAGATAAAATTTGGTGTTAATTTTTTGGTGTATCATATTAGTCGAAAAATTTTGGTGTTAATTTTCTCGTTCAAATTCATAGGCAAAGCAATTCACAATTTACCATTGATTTCACTTTTAAGTATTAATTTTGCATATGTTTTCTAGTTCCGATTGTTTATCAACGGAAATTTTTATTTAATATGTTCTATTATTATCCATGCTGTTTGATCAAATTTAGTATAATTTATTGCTTTTGATATAATGAAAATGTTAGACCATCTCTAAAAAGTTACTGGAATGGCATTAATAGGGTCAAGTTCTTATTGTCTTTTACGTGTGGTTTTGTGCAGGTTATGATGTTTGAAACAGAAGCATCTGATCAGGCTATAGAGCCGTATATAAATGAAAATGTTGATACAAATGATTTTGTAGAAGCAACATATGAATCTGAAGAACTTAACGATTTCGGAGTGAACATTGAATTTGACGAAGATGATGTTAATGATGAAAGGATACTGGGAAAAGTTTTTGATACACCCGATGATGCCTATACATTTTATAATGATTATTCTTTTTTGCATGGCTTTGGAATACGTAGAGATGACACAGTTAAAAATCCTAAAACAAATGAGCCTTTTCGGAAGATATATGTATGCAACAAAGAAGGTTTCAAACGGATGGACAAAAATGCTTCAAGTGAAAATGAGAAAAAAACGTCGTAGAGATGTTAGAACAGGATGCCAAGCAAAACTTCGAATAACAAGACAGGAGGATGGGAAGTGGTTGGTGGACTCGTTTAATGACACACACAATCACGACTTGACCATGACACCTATGAAGGTGATGAAGCATCGATCTCATAGCAATTTCCATCGTTCAATAGAAGGTAAATCTCTTATGGTGCAATTTGGTCAAGCAGGGTTGAAACCTTCTCAAATTAAAAAGGCTGTTAATACAATGAAAACCTCAAATGTAGCTGATGTAACTTCAAAGCAATGTGCTGATGTCTTATCTGAGCATCGAAAACAACATAGAGGAAAGGAGTTCTATGGACTTATAAAACATTTTCAAGATAAAACGTTAGTTGACAGTGACCAATATTTTGCCGTGGATTTGTCTGATGATGGGTATCCTAGAAATATCTTTTGGGTTGATGGTAGATCAAGAGATGCCTATACAAAATTCAAAGATGTTGTTGTGTTTGATGTCACTTATATGACTAACAA